GAACTGTAAAGTGCCTTGAGATGACATGTGTTGTGAATTTGGCGCTATATAAATAAACTGAATTGAATTGAAATCAAATCAGTTTCTCGTACTCAGTAATGGGAAGACAGAGGTATTAGGCCTAAAGGATACAATGTCTGAGAACTTAGAGACATCAGATCATACATTTCATTCTCATCTCAGGTGTCTTTGTTTCCTGAAACCTCAAGTACTGTATAATTAATAATAAGCTTAATTTGCAGAATCGTCAGCAGTAAATTGATCTTATAATTTGCATGCCGTTCCTGACTTTAAAGACTCCTTAAAATGTTAACTGTATTAACCTATTTTTATGAATCCGTTAATGTTTTTTTTTACATGCAAGACAAAAATTACCCGTTTTATACTTTGTTAAAGATTCCTTTTTTAGTTTATCGCCTAGTGATCTCTGCAGTCCTTCCAGTCTGACGTTTCTGCACTGTGGATGGTTTTATGATTTTTTTTTTTCACATTTTAAGCTTCAAAAATACCTTTTGGCTTAAAGCAAAAATGTTGTGGATTCATATCTTAGCCAGTACTTAGACCCTGAAGGTTCTCCCCTTGTCTGAGTGAGCTCTGTCGACATACCAACCTCTTGCCAAAGGTTAATTAATTGTCTTTAACTCTAAACTGGATGCTTGAAAGTGTCTTATTCTTTTCATCTTTAGATAGCCACATCCCATATGAGGTAAACAACAATCAAGAAACTTGTGGTTTAGAGAATGAAATAGGATTTAAAAAATTTTCCTAACATCCTTATAAGCTTAATTTAAATGCTATATTGTGGGTCCTTAAAGAAATCCCAGCATCATGCTGTTATTTATCTGAATATATCTTCTGTAAGAAAATGTATGCTAATTTAAAGGTGTTTTTAAACAAGCTTTCAGAAGGACTCAATTGTGAAATTTAAAGTTGATTTATGTAAGTGATATGATGGTTTCCCAAATAAAAGTTTAATTAAATTTTGGAATATAAACCTTTCCATTTGTCTTTTTTGTTAAAACTATATCAGATGTGACTTCCTTAAACTTTAAGGACACATATTTTGCTGACCTTATATTGAACATGACAGCAGTTCCTGGTTTTCATGTTTATTTCCGGTTACGATCATCTGGAAGCATCGTGCAAAGATAGCATTATTTTTTCTTTTTTTTTTTTTTTAGTAGGAGCACATGGTGATAAAATGTGCTCCTTGCCCTCTGCTGAAAAGAACAAAGGCGAGCTGAAGGCCTGCGTGTAAATCTGCGAGCTGAAGTCATGTTTAAGTTAACATCTGTTGATAGTTAGCATGCCGCTCCGGCTCTCACACCCCTGCTGCTCCTGCAGATCCCAGCCTGCGGTGAGCTCATCGGCCGTGGACTTTCGTTCGATCAACAGTTAATCAGAGAGGAACCAAGTTCTGCGCTCCTCTTCTGACAATGATTTACAAGCTTTTTAGGAAATTCTAGAAGGAGGTCAGTCAGGCTTCTGGCTAGGAGAGGTCAAAATAAAAACAGGAGCAAGATGATAGGTAAGTGAATAAAGAGAAGCTTTTAAAGGAGGGAAAAATCCCAATAAATTAAACTGAAATAACAAAAGAGTGGGCTTTCAAGGTAAGTGTTGCTGTAAATCCTGTTTTTACTCTGCTTCTCTTAGCTCTGCTACCCATTTTAAACAAAGGTGATGAATATCCTCTACATTTTGACTTGGTGGACATTTTCTAGGAACCTCATCTTAGAAAGTCATGATTCTTTCTAAGAACCCTCACTGGCTGAAAGGTTTTTTTCATTGAAACTTTGTTTCAGCAGGATCATGTTTGCCGATAGTTTTACTCAGTTTCATCATATTAACTACATCTTTGCTAACTTAGCCCACACCTATTTCTAACTTTTTTTTCTCTCTTTTTTCAAATAATTCTCTGCCTCTGTCTCCTTGAACCCCAGTCAGCCTCTGCAGATGGCCGCTCACACTAAGCCTGGTTCTGCTGGAGGTTTCTTCCTGTTAAAAGGGAGTTTTTCCTCTCCACTGTCCCCACAAGCATGCTTAGTGTGAAGGATTGCATTTGGTTTCCTTAGATAGAAAACTTTGAATCAATTTGACTGTGTTGGGATCTGGAGCTGTTCCCACCTTTCTCCAGCAGAGTGCGCCGTGGATCCTCCTGAGCTGAGCTTCCAACACACCTGAGGCGCATCTCGTCATTAGAGGATCCTCCAGTATATAACCTGCCTTCAGACCTTGCCTCAACGCCGCAGTGTTGATCCAGTTTGGTTAGCACCTGAGCCTAGCATCACCTGAGAATCCTTGTTGTCTTGATTTAGTTTGAATTCTAATACCTCCTTGTCTCTGCTTTCAGGAATCCCGTTTTCCTTGTAAGCTCTGGATGAGCTTGACCTGCCGAGCCAGCCCTCTGAGCCAAACCTGAAGACTCTTCTCTGGATCCCCATGCAGCTCTGGACTAAGAGCTGGAAACCCAAAACCAAGGTCTGCCCTCAAGCTAGAAGTAAGACGCTGAAGCGGTTATTGGACTGTGCTGAACTAAACAGTCTCTGGACCCAACAGTTCCTCTCTCAAAGCCAAACCCGGACTCCTCAAGGTATCCATCAGAAACTCTCAAACTCAAACTCTTCTGCTCCCAAGCTAACTGAACTGTCATCCTCACAGACTCCAGTGAACCTGCCCCCAGGCCTGAACCAGTTCCAGTGTTTATTCCATGTGCTTGTAATCAATAAACATTGTTAAACTTTTCATCAGTCTCCGTGGTGTTCTGCATACTGGGCTTTTCTGAAACCCATCATGACAGACTGTATGATCTGATCACTGAAGAGTGCCGTGAGATTACATGTGTTGTAAACTGGCACAATATTAATAAACTGAATTGAAACTGAATTAATACTTTTTTTAATTCAGCTAAAGTTGATGCAAGCCTACCTCACATAATAAAGTCAAAGCTACTTAGAGCTAAACAAATCTCCCACAATTTGCTCACTTTAACATTTTTGCACAAAAACCCAAATATGGTCCAAATTGAACAACATATTCTCATTATCAGTTCGTA